CACTCTAGACGCGTGGCGGTGTTTACTCTAGACGCGTGGCGGTGTTCACTCTAGACGGGTGGCGGTGTTCACTCTAGACGCGTGGCGGTGTTCACTCTAGACGCGTGGCAGTGTTCACTCTAGACGCGTGGCGGTGTTCACTCTAGACGCGTGGCAGTGTTCACTCTAGACGGGTGGCGGTGTTCACTCTAGACGCGTGGCAGTGTTCACTCTAGACGGGTGGCGATGTTCACTCTAGACGCGTGGCGGTGTTCACTCTAGACACGTGGTGGTGTTCACTCTAGACGCGTGGCGGTGTTTACTCTAGACGTGTGGTGGTGTTTACTCTAGACGTGTGGCGGTGTTCACTCTAGACGGGTGGCTGTGTTCACTCTAGACATGTGGCGGTGTTCACTCTAGACGCGTGGTGGTGTTCACTCTAGACGGGTGGCGGTGTTCACTCTGGGCGCGTGGTGGTGTTTACTGTAGACACGTGGTGGTGTTCACTCTAGACGCGTGGCGGTGTTCACTCTAGACGCGTGGCGGTGTTCACTCTAGACGGGTGGCGGTGTTCACTCTAGACGCGTGGTGGTGTTCACTCTAGACGGGTGGCGGTGTTCACTCTGGGCGCGTGGTGGTGTTTACTGTAGACGCGTGGTGGTGTTCACTCTACTTGGTGGAGTGAGGAAGCATGAATTCTGAGCAGGTGAAGGTGGCCAGGCGTGGGTCTGGACACACCACCACCTGTGAACCATGCCAGTGTGTGACAGTGGTGGAGCCAGTGGGGGTGGGGTGGCACGTACCCCCCCAACGGTCCGATTGAAATCCCTAATTTCGATCGGATCATTGGGGTTCATTAGTAACTAGCTTCACTACCCGGCTTCGCCCGGGACTTGGATTCTTGACTTGGATAAATTTCAAATTTCATATTCCCTTGTCTTTCACTGAAAACCCCTGAAAAAATTTGATGCTTGCAAGAAAGAAAAAAGCCGAAACAAATCAAGTTCCCTTAATCGGATGTTTTCACTCAAGGAAATTTAACCTTAATCCACTTCTACGCAAGGTCGATTTTGGCCACGCCGGAAGGGAATGACGTGGCGAGCTGAAAATAGTCGCGTTCACTTAGACATTCCAGACAGCATAAGCTGTGAAATTTTCATGACGCCAGAGCTCAGCGATGGATAGTTTTTGGTGCTTCACACAAGCAAACAGATGCTATTTCTGCTTTATATTTAAGATAGCCGTTGTACCCGTTCTTCGCACGGATATGTATTGAAACTCCGAGAAGCCAATGGCTTCATCGGCCAGGAGCAAAGCGCCACCTAAAATCTCCCGGCACGCTGTTAACAGCTCTAAGCTCTGCAGAGCGCTTAACTCAGGTGTGTTGCCGGTTGACGTCACACACTCCATGGTCATTTCCCCCACCCCCCCCCCCCAAAATACAAACGTCTATTTTTATACTTTTTACATTGTGCACAGTATGGAACTGTTGTATACGGCCCTTTTTCCACAATTAATATCCATGAGAATATTTGCCGATATATACATATAGATTTTTTTCTTTTGTGACAAACCAAAATTAATTAATAAAACAGCCAGGCACACCAGAAAGCCAGATGTCGATCATAAACAAGCCATTAAAAAAATGAAATAAACTCTCGAAGGAGGATGTTAACAGCTATCTGCGAAGATCTCCAGATGAACAAGAGTTTGATGTGCCCCTTTGGAAAGGTCACCCAGCGGCGAGCCTCAGGAGGACAGACGCGAGTTAAACCATTTTTTTATTTTCCTTATTTGCCATTAAAACAACGGTTAAAATTTAAAATACAATAACCAGAATAAGCTAAAATTAGCGATCCTCACGATCACTCCAATTAAGACTAGGCCACCAGATGCATCAGTGAATCCTTATCCAATTATTAGTTCGATATCAAATGATTTTCACCTTGAATACTTTTACTGTTAAAACAAAGCTTGGAGACAGAAATACCGAGTCACATCAAAGGTTATCGAGAAGGAATGAGGCGAACGGGCAAACTTATGAAAGAGTTTAAACAATGTCCCAAGCAACCCCGACCACCTTTGTCTCTCTCGCAGCGCGGGAGAGCAAGAATTTAACACCATAGCGAGAGAATGATTATCAGGGTTGGCCATCTGCAGCGTATGCGCAGGGCTCAAGGAAAACACACCCCACCCTGCTACGCAGGCGGTAAGAATCCCTTAGAAGCTACACTGCCGCCATCCGCGAACAGAGTTTAATTAGAGAAATTTACTATACATGGTGTCACACAAACCTTAATGCTAACGTGATTTATCTTAAATTACAGTATATCTAGGCGTTACATAACCTTACAGAACCAAGGGATATGGATTCCAACAATAAAGAAACGGATCCCTTAAACTCAGGATAAACATCTTTATTATAAAATAAATAATAACTCCCATCATAACAATGCGAATCTCGGTAACCCGAGAGGTGTGTCGGGAGGACATAGTTACAAAACACGAGCCTTAGTGAAGATAAGACCAAATGGTATTTGAGAAACATTAAACCGAAAGCAGCCAGAAATAGAGGTACTCCCGACCGCCTTTGTATCTCCCGCAGAGCGCGAGAAAGGAATTTCACGCCAGAGCAAAGAGATCATTATCAGGCCATCTGCACACGCACGTGGGCTCAATAATGGCCCCACCCCACAACCACGCAAGCGAGTTTTAAGTTAAGAGAAATCGCAATACATTTATATGATGATAAGACAGAATGACGAAAATTAATAAACTAAGAGCCAAGATAACGGGGTGGATCAAACTGGTTGAATATAAGATCGAAATGATATTTGAGCGATGTTAACTCAAGATATAGAGAGATAGGAAAGATCCCGGCCACCTTTGTCTCTCCCCACAGCACGTGATAAAATATGCATACGCTCGAAAAAGCATCTTCACTTGGAAATAAAATCAAATACCCCGAATCACAAGCAGAATCATATATGCGTATGGTACGATACGCTGTCAGATGAGAAAGGTTAAACTTTAAAAACTAACAATTTTTTTGTGCATCAGAAACGTGTACAAAGGGGGGGGGGGGGGAACCCGCCCCTCCCTCTGGATGGACAGTGTAGACAGACAGACGCCTTTGAGATGAATCGAAGCGTCTGCTCCCTTGATGGTTTATGGCTTGAGGAAGACCCGAACAGAACCTTGTCGTAAATGACACACACACAAACATACACACTGACACACGAACCTCGACCACCACCGACACACAACCAGATCAAAGATAGCTCCGCCTCGTGAGGAGGAGCCTAAGAGGAGAGATTTTGACGTAAAAATGAGCCGTTTCAGCATTGAATTCAACTCATCAGCCCGCGGGGCCAGCTCAACAGAACAAAACTCATCTCAACTCATCTCAGCAGAATACCAGCCATCACCGACGCCGCCTCTACAAACTTGCCAAATTGGCGAGTGTCGCCGATTGGCGACACGCTGCCCGCTATTGGCGGTCAGCGCAACCGAGCGAATCGTGAGCCTGTTTCCCTTCAACGTGACTTTACCGAAAGAGCTAAGAATATGAATTACTGCAGTCACGAAAGCTTTAAATCAAAATGTAATGTGTACGAGTAATTGCATTGTTCCAATTCATAACCAACCTTTGTTACCGAGGCTGGGCCCGATTATCATAACGACCTGCATTATCATAACCAAGCCCACTCACATAAATTAATAAGGTTACCTCTAATTAGTATAATTTATGCACATAATCACCCAAATTAACACAATTTCGGATGAATTATGTAAATTTCACATTTCAATTTTCATTATTTTCACATTTTCATAACCCACATATACAACAGAACCTACCCACATGCCAAATTTCAAGTGTGTAGCATGTTGGGAAGTATGCTGAACATTTCAAACAGACATAAATTGACAAATTTCCCTTTTATATATATAGATAAATCAGCATTTTGCGACCCCCACTGCCACCGTGTGGCATATTATTACGTGCCAGGGACTCTGAGAGGACAACAGTCCAAGTCCATAATTGGCAATAAGTAACGGCAAAGCAGTTACAAGCGACTCACAGAATTGTGTGCAGTTGCGTATACAGTACACGACTTCCCTGATGGCAAACACCTTCAGCGAGCGCGATGCCTATCACACGCGTCCAATAAAAAGCATAGGACAAGTCCTTGGTAACAACTCCTTAATAACAGCTCCTTAATAACAACTCCTTACTTAATAACAACTCCTTACTTAATAACAACTCATATGTTTCATTGCTGGAGGGGTTGCTCATGGCTCCACCTCTGAGTGTGTGACACGGTCAAGTTTGTATTTGCAGTAAAGTCTATTAACTCTATTGAGCGTAGAGGTTATATCAAAACAGTTTATTTTTGTTTTCCTCTGGAACTCTTTGTTTGAATGTAGTCGGGAAGTTATCACAGCACATGTGCAGCTGAAGTCAGAACTGTTCATCCCAGCATTCAAGGACATCTATGCCTGGCTTCACACCTCTAAGTTGCGATTGAACATTAATTTACGCATTTCTGCATAACACAAATAGTATTATTTTCAACACCCTTTGCTATGTCAGCTGAATTTAGCTTTCATAAATATTCCTTTTGAAGCCAGACAGCCGAAATTGTGTGCTCGGAGTTTTGGGTTAACATTCATTTTGAAGATACTAGGGCTTCCAGGCACATTTATGACATTTGCCCTCTCATTGTGTGCCATAACAGCCCTTGTGATGAATTTGGGACACTTTTTCACTATAACATGAATATATGAATAAGTATAGACGTGTTAGCTACGCGTTACTGTGTGTATGCATTCCTCTGTGCATCGAAACTGACGTGTAGATGATGTGGATATTCTTTTTTTCTTTCTGCAGCTGACGCTTCCTCTGTTGCTTCCTCTGCAGAATTTGTCTGATGGAGCAAAGGCACTCGGCGCGGCTCGGTGCAAAAAGGCAACAATGCGAACAGGGTGCAAACAACACGGATCGTACTGGAAATTTGATACGGCACCAGAGAACTCACACGGGAGAGAAACCTTTCAAGTGCAGTGTGTGTGGGAAGGCCTTTTCACTTTCACAAAATCTTCAAAGACACCAGAGAACACACACGGGAGAGAAACTCTTCAAGTGCAGTGTGTGTGGGAAGGCGTTTGCACATTTATCTACTCTTAAAAAACACCAGAGAACACACACGGGAGAGAAACCCTTCAAGTGCAGTGTGTGTGGGATGGCGTTTTCAGTTTCATATACTCTTGTAACACACCAGAGAACACACACGGGAGAGAAACCCTTCAAGTGCAGTGTGTGTGGGAAGGCGTTTGCACGTTCATCTGCTCTTACAAAACACCAGAGAACACACACAGGAGAGAAACCCTTCAAGTGCAGTGTGTGTGGGAAGGCGTTTTCACTTTCACCAAATCTTCAAAGACACCAGAGAACACACACGGGAGAGAAACCCTTCAAGTGCAATGTGTGTGGGAAGGCGTTTGCACTTTCATCTACTCTTAAAAAACACCAGAGAACACACACAGGAGAGAAACCCTTCAAGTGCAGTGTGTGTGGAAAGGCATTTTCACAGTCACCACATCTTCAAGGACACCAGAGAACACACACAGGAGAGAAACTCTTTAAGTGCAGTGTGTCTGGGAAGGCGTTTTCAGATTCATCTGCTCTTGTAACACACCAGAGAACACACACAGGAGAGAAACCCTTCAAGTGCAGTGTGTGTGGGAAGGCGTTTTCACGTTCACCAAATCTTCAAAGACACCAGAGAACACACACGGGAGAAAAACCCTTCAAGTGCAGTGTGTGTGGGAAGGCGTTTTCACTTTCACCAAATCTTCAAAGACACCAGAGAACTCACAAGCATCAGAAGATCCACAAGGAGTGGAATCTGAAATCAGCTTGTGAAAGTCAAAGTGCCGCAATGAGCCCATCCCTCATGAAACAAGAACCGGAAGAAAATCCCAGCTTGGACACTTTTAAAGGTATCGAGGTGAAATATGAAGAGGTGAAGGGCAAATGTGAGAAAGTGATGGTGAAGAGTGAAGAAGTGAAGGTCAAATGTGAAGAAGTGATGGTGAAGAGCAAAGAGGTGAAGGTAAAATGTGAAGATGAAGATTCAACTCCAAAGTCGGACCTTCACATCGATGGAGGCAACGTGAAGCAGGAGGAGAATTCTGACTGTGAGGCAGAGCGAGGCAACGCCCAGCAGTTTGTGGAAGTGGAGGTGTGGGTGGACTTCCTCTGAGACAATACGAAGTCAAATGGAGACCCGGTAGATGTGTAAGCTTGAGACGATGTCGCTCCAATAGATGAACCTTTGTCACAGGCCTTTAATGACAAGAATGTGAAGTTGAACACTCAATTCCTAGGTTCAACCAGCAGGGTAAGAGCGGCCAGTCTTTGTGGACCTGTGGGTTGGGTAGATCTCTAACCAGGAGCGAGAACCAATAAGCTCCCAAGCATTCACAAGGTTCTAATAATTCCATTGATATGGTGCTTGCTTAATCGCCTCTGGCAATTCAGAGTTTTGTGTCGTATCTTGTCTCAAACACTCGAAGAGCAGCCCCAAGTAGCAGCTGCCCCTGTGTGGCACAAGGTGGTGGCCCTGCACTGGCCTGCATGTGGACAAGAGCCTGTCAGTAGGGGGCGATGGTTGATGTGGCATCTCAGTTGTGGAGTTTGTAGGTAATGTTTAGAATTTTATACATTTTGACCCAGACGCCAGCATGCAATGGCCTACTCATTTTGAATTGCGCAATAGTTCGTTGTACATAGACTGTTAAGCAGACGGTGCGTATTTTTTGAAATAGCGTCTTGTTAATACGATGTAATCTGATGCAGTATATTTCACTGCAGTAATTCAATTTTGTTAATATGCCTGTCAATAATTTAGAATGAATACTTGTCTGATTGTGTGCGTATATGTAACATTTTGTCTATAAGGGTCAAACATTAAATAAGTGATGTTAGGACAAAGTGTTTGTTTTGGAAGTAACCTGTACAGACAACTCAGGTGAGACTCATTGTTCTTGTGATACAGGTCAAAGGGTATTTTTGTGTTTTCGGGACGCATCTCCCTCTGGAGCAACTCATTGTCTTTGAAATAGGGAGCACACTCGGATCATTCATCAGTTACAAGGCATACCACTGAAAAGTTACACGTAGAGGAGATACATTCTCTACAACACGAATTATAATTTTTGTATTACGTGTTGACGTAAATTTTGTCTAACTAGGTCTAGAAATGCTCCTTGTTGATTAACGTCTGGATGTTCGAAACTATCGGTTGAAGCAGCCCGGCTGCTTTTGAGACGCTGTGCACCAATAAGAGTCCGCAGGTGGCTTGTACTGAATCAATGATGTACTCTCAGAAGGCTGTGTTAGTTATAGTTTGTGTAAAACATTCCTTTGTTTCGTGGAGAGATCGATAAATGAAAGATGTCGTGTCTGCTGATCTGCTTCATAGCAAGGAAGTAATTTTAAGAGCACATTTGAAATTCATTTTTGGTACAGATTTGTATTCGGTTACAAGGCAGAGCACATCTAGTAGATACATTCTCCACAACAACACTCAATAGATTTTGCATGACGTCTTATATGTTGGTGAACTAGAACAAGAAATGGTCCTTGCTGATTAACGTCTGGATGTTCACAACCAAGGGTTGAAGCAAGCCGGACGGCCTGCGGCGCCACTCGCAACCGGGTAAGGCCGGGAAGCACCCGGCGGTACCCGGGCGAAAAAGACAAACATCAACCCACACACACACATCAACCCACACACACACATCGACCCACACACACATCGACCCACACACACATCGACCCACACACACACACATCAACCCACACACACACATCGACCCACACACACATCGACCCACACACACATCGACCCACACACACATCGACCCACACACACATCGACCCACACACACACATCGACCCACACACACATCGACCCACACACACATCAACCCACACACACATCGACCCACACACACATCGACCCACACACACACACATCGACCCACACACACACACATCGACCCACACACACACACATCGACCCACACACACACACATCGACCCACACACACACACATCGACCCACACACACACATCGACCCACACACACACATCGACCCACACACACACATCGACCCACACACACATCGACCCACACACACATCGACCCACACACACACATCGACCCACACACACATCGACCCACACACACACATCGACCCACACACACACATCGACCCACACACACATCGACCCGCACACACATCGACCCGCACACACACATCGACCCGCACACACACATCGACCCGCACACACATCGACCCACACACACATCGACCCACACACACATCGACCCACACACACACATCGACCCACACACACACATCGACCCACACACACACATCGACCTACACACACATCGACCCACACACACACACATCGACCCACACACACACATCGACCCACACACACATCGACCCACACACACACATCGACCCACACACACACATCGACCCACACACACACATCGACCCACACACACATCGACCCACACACACACACCGACCCACACACACACACATCGACCCACACACACACACATCGACCCACACACACACACATCGACCCACACACACATCGACCCACACACACATCAACCCACACACACATCGACCCACACATCGACCCACACATCGACCCACACACACACACATCGACCCACACACACACACATCGACCCACACACACACACATCGACCCACACACACACACATCGACCCACACACACACACATCGACCCACACACACACACATCGACCCACACACACACACACCGACCCACACACACACACATCGACCCACACACACACACATCGACCCACACACACACATCGACCCACACACACACATCGACCCACACACACACATCGACCCACACACACACATCGACCCACACACACACATCGACCCACACACACACATCGACCCACACACACACATCGACCTACACACACACATCGACCCACACACACACATCGACCCACACACACACATCGACCCACACACACACATCGACCCGCACACACACATCGACCCACACACACACATCGACCCACACACACACATCGACCCACACACACATCGACCCACACACACATCGACCCACACACACATCGACCCACACACACATCAACCCACACACACACACATCGACCCACACACACACACATCGACCCACACACACACACATCGACCCACACACACACACATCGACCCACACACACACACATCGACCCACACACACACACATCGACCCACACACACACACATCGACCCACACACACACACATCGACCCACACACACACACATCGACCCACACACACACACATCGACACACACACACACACATCGACCCACACACACACACATCGACCCACACACACACACATCGACCCACACACACACACATCGACCCACACACACACATCGACCCACACACACACATCGACCCACACACACACATCGACCCACACACACACATCGACCCACACACACACATCGACCCACACACACACATCGACCCACACACACACATCGACCCACACACACATCGACCCACACACACACATCGACCCACACACACACATCGACCCACACACACACACATCGACCCACACACACACACATCGACCCACACACACACACATCGACCCACACACACACACATCGACCCACACACACACACCCACACACACCACACACACACACACCGACCCACACACACACATCGACCCACACACACACATCGACCCACACACACACATCGACCCACACACACACATCGACCCACACACACACATCGACCCACACACACACATCGACCCACACACACACATCGACCCACACACACACATCGACCCACACACACACATCGACCCACACACACACATCGACCCACACACACACATCGACCCACACACACACATCGACCCACACACACATCGACCCACACACACACATCGACCCACACACACACATCGACCCACACACACACATCGACCCACACACACACATCGACCCACACACACACATCGACCCACACACACATCGACCCACACACACATCGACCCACACACACATCGACCCACACACACACATCGACCCACACACACACACCGACCCACACACACACACCGACCCACACACACACACCGACCCACACACACACACATCGACCCACACACACACACATCGACCCACACACACACATCGACCCACACACACACATCGACCCACACACACACATCGACCCACACACACATCGACCCGCACACACACATCGACCCGCACACACACATCGACCCGCACACACACATCGACCCGCACACACACATCGACCCGCACACACACATCGACCCACACACACACATCGACCCACACACACACATCAACCCACACACACACATCGACCCACACACACACACACATCGACCCACACACACACATCGACCCACACACACACATCGACCCACACACACACATCGACCCGCACACACATCGACCCGCACACACATCGACCCGCACACACATCGACCCGCACACACATCGACCCGCACACACATCGACCCGCACACACATCGACCCACACACACATTGACCCACACACACATTGACCCACACACACATCGACCCACACACACATCGACCCACACAACAACAACAACCGCCATTCGCCACTAAGTGGCGGTGACGTCACCACGACGCTTGTGCCAGGCTATGTGCACCCTGAGGCCACGTGAAGTGTCGAACGCCCGCTGGCAGGAGGTCACGGGGCAGACCCAGGTGCCACGGGTCGACTGACTGAGATGACTGGCTGATGCACCACCTGTGCCCCCTACTGTGCCAACCTGCTGTGCTTTAGCCACCCGGCGCTCCGCTCGCTGTTGTGAGCGTCGCTCCTCCGCCCTCCGTTGTTGTTGGAGGGCGACTGCCTCCAACTGCCCAGTAGCATCCTTCACGAGCCTCCTCCACAGAGGCCGATCTTGACACCGCTGGGACCAGTCATCGGCAAGTCCACTCAGCTCCACGTCCTCCTGTACCACATCGACCCACACACACATCGACCCACACACACATCGACCCACACACACAAACACATCGACTTACACACACAGACATCCACTTTAGACACACATGGAGTTACACACAAATCGACACACACAGCGACTCGCGCACACACATACGTAGACTCTCACATTGACCTAAGCACACGTAGATTTACACACATCGACTAAGAGACACACACATGGACTTACACACAACATGGACCCACGCGCACACATCGACGTACACACACACATGGACTCGCACATACCGGGGTTTCGGGGTACCCGAAGGGCTGGGGTCTCTCTCGCCGGGGCCGCCCTCCATGGTTTAAATCTGCGGACGTTGACCACCGTCTCTCGGCCCCTTTCCCCGCCCTGGATCATCACCGTCCAGGGGGGGGATCTGCCGCACCACAGTCCAGGGTCCGCGCCAGTAGGTGGTCAGCTTCCTCACCTGTCCGGCCCCTACGCGCGGGGTGTGCATTCGAACCTTAGAGCCCGCCGAATAGAGGGGGGCTCCACACGGGGCTGCATGCCCTGCTCTTGCCGCTGATGTGCGGCCTCCGCCTGTTGGTAGGCCCGGCCACGGGCCCTTCGCAGGGTCCCCATCGGGTGCTCCACGGGCTGGCTCCCTTCCTCCCGTTGCGGCGGGGGAACGCCAAACAACAGATCTGCTGGTAGGCGAGACTCACGACCAAACATCATTCGGAACGGGGTCTGTCCCGTAGATGTGTGTGCCGTGGTGGCATCGGGGGAGGTGTTCGTCACAATCCTGTTGATTGGCGGCCGCCATACGTTTGAGCTTCCCGGCTAAGGTCTTGTTTGTACGCTCCACCATTTGCCTGGGGGTGGTATGCCGTAGTGTGGTCCTTCTGGATTCCGAACTCCCGGCACAGCGCCTGCAACAGCTCTGTCTCGAACGCACTACCCTGGTCAGTAATGACTCGTTCGGGGATCCCATGTTTAAGTACGTAATGTTCCACAAATGCCCGGGTGACCACAAGGGCAGTTTTATCTGGGCTGGCCACTGGGTAGCGCGTGAAATACTCCACCGCCACGAGGATGTACCGGTCGCCTCGGTGGGTTTGTGGGAATGGCCCCTGCAGGTCGATCCCAACTAGCTGGTCCGCCCGGCTGACACGGATCGGACTCGGAGGCACCTGATACCGCACCGATTTCTGCCCACACTGCTGACAAGCGCGGCAGCACTGCACCCAGGCGGCCACGCCTTGTGCCAGTTTGGGCCAGAGATACTGGCGACGCAGGGTCTCCCGAGTGCGCCGTTCCCCGTCATGGCCCCCGAGCGGGTGGTCGTGCACCAGCCGGGGCCGCACCTGGGCGGGGACACAGATGCACCCCGGCTGCCCGGCTTCGGTTAGCACCCTGTTCTCTACACGCATCCGGGCGTACAAACCGCTCCAGGGTCCCTGCAGGGCGACCTTTTCCTCCCGCAGGCCCGCCGGGGGCCCGTCCCGGCTGCTCGTCGTCCAGGCCCGGCAACGCACAGCCGACGTCCTCTTGGATCCGACCGGGCGGGGCCGGAGCGGCCCGTCGGGGTCCCTGGCTCCTTCTGCAGGGACCTCCGTGGCACACACAAAACCTTCTCCCAGCGGAGGGGGGGGGCGAGTCTCGGGGGGGGGGCGCTCCAGCGGGGCTGTTTGCCTGTCGGCAGCGTGCCCCCCGTGAGGCACGGGCAGGCCTCCTCCTCCTCCTCCCTCGCCTCCGTGGGTTGCCTCGACAAAGCTTCCGCATTTGCGTTTGCGTCCGCGTGCGTACGCCCGGCGCTGCACTCGATCTGCAGGTTGTACTCCTGCAGCTGCGTCAGCCACCGGGGCCATCTGACCCCCCCCCGCGGTTCCTCGAATGTTGAGGAGGAACTGCAGGGCATAGTGGTCGGACATTTTCTGCCGTGCAAGATGCGGCCGGAACTGCTTCCGCGCGAAAATCACGGCATACAGCTCCTGAAGGGGTCACGCAATAATTCAGCTCGGGGCCCCGCTCGGGGGTCCGGCTGGCGAATGCGATGACCCCGCTCCGTGCCACCCTGCACCTGTGACAACACCGCGGCCCAGCCCACTGCCCGCAGGCGTCTGTGTCCAAAATAAAATCGGTGGGAAAGCCGGGGTCGGGGTCGGGGGGGTATGGGCGAGGTGGTCCTGCGTCCACCGATAGGGGTTCTTAGGGGAAGCGAGTTGGGTGAGGGGGCGTGCAACCTCGCCGAATCCCTTCACAAGCCGGCGACGATAAGTGGCTAGCCCCACGAGCGACCTGATCTCCGTCAGGTGCCTCGGTCTTGGCCATTCCACTACGGCGCGAACCTTCTCCGGGTCGGTGCTCACCCCTCCCCCCCCGCCTCGCTGACGCGGTGTGCGGGGTGCTACCCAACCTCGCGCTGCGCAATGACACGCGGCTTGAGCTCGAGATGGGCTGCCCGCGATCGTTGGAACACCTCCCGTAACCTGGACCAGTGCTCGGACAGGGACCTAATGAACACTATCACGGCGTCCAGGTAAATCAGGCACTGTTCCCATTTCAAGCCCTGCAGCACCAATTCCATCGAACGTCGCCGGCGCGTTAGCGAGTCCGAACGGGAGCACCTGGAACTCAAAACAGTCCCATCGGGGTGGTAAACGCGGTCTTTGGCCGATCCTCCTCCCGCCATCCCCACCGGCCAGTACCCTGACGCTAGGTCGAGGGTGGAAAAATTACCGCGACCCTGCGAGGGGCTGTCAAAGGTGTCGTCGATGAGGGGGATGGGGAAGGCGTCGCCGAGGGTGACCGCGTTCACCTTCAGACCCGTCCTCCTTCGTCACCAGCACGACCGGGGCAGACCAGGGCCTCGCCGAGGGCTGGATTGTGTCGTCGCGTAGCGCATCCACGACTGCCTCTGTAACCTGGGCCCGCTCGGGCGCGCCCACCCGGTACGCGGGGAGCCCAACGGGGTCGGGCGGCACCCGTGTCGATTTGGTGTTGAACGAGAATCGTGCTCCCGCAGGGACCCCCCCCCGCTCGCGCCTGGTCGGCCTCCCCCTCGGGGTAAATCTTCCCAGGGTGTCGCGTAGCGCGTCAAGCAGGCGGACGACCTCGGCTCTGGGAGTCGGGCCGACCCGCCAAGGCCGGTGTCCTGCTTGTCCTCGGAGCGGCAGGGGTCCTCATCAGCCCCGAGGGCAAAAACACCGAGCTGTTAAAGAGCGGCGCGCGCGTGCAGGGGGTGGTACGTGAACCCCGACCGCGTGAACCCCCGACCACGTGAACCCCCGACCAGGTGAACCCCGACCGCGTGAACCCCGACCACGTTGCAGTGTGCGGCGCTCACGAGCGAGGTACGGATCTTCTCGTGTGCGTGTCCGTGTTTAGTGGGGGTGTGTGTGTTTAGTGGGGGTGTGTGTTTAGTGGGGGTGTGTGTGTTTAGTAGGGGTGTGTGTGTTTAGTGGGTGTGCGTGTGTTTAGTAGGGGTGTGTGTGTTTAGTAGGGGGGTGTGTTTAGTGGGGGTGTGTGTGTTTAGTGGGGGTGTGTTTGTGTTTAGTGGGGGTGTGCGTGTGTGTTTAGTAGGGGTGTGTGTTTAGTAGGGGTGTGTGTTTAGTGGGGGTGTGCGTGTGTTTAGTCGGGGTGTGTGTTTAGTGGGTGTGCGTGTGTTTAGTGGGTGTGCGTGTGTTTAGTCGGGGTGTGTGTGTTTAGTGGGTGTGCGTGTGTTTAGTGGGTGTGCGTGTGTGTTTAGTCGGGGTGTGTGTGTTTAGTGGGGGTGTGTGTGTGTGTTTAGTGGGAGTGTGCGTGTGTGTTTAGTAGGGGTGTGTTTAGTAGGGGTGTGTTTAGTGGGTGTGCGTGTGTTTAGTGGGGGTGTGCGTGTGTGTTTAGTAGGGGTGTGTGTGTTTAGTGCGTGTGTGTTTAGTGGGGGTGTGTGTTTAGTGGGGGTGTGTGTTTAGTGTGTGTGTTTAGTGGGGGTGTGTGTTTAGTGGGGGTGTGTTTAGTAGGGGTGTGTTTAGTGGGTGTGCGTGTGTTTAGTGGGGGTGTGTTTAGTGGGGGTGTGTGTGTTTAGTAGGGGTGTGTGTGTTTAGTAGGGGTGTGTGTGTTTAGTGGGTGTGTGCGTGTGTTTAGTGGGTGTGTGTCTTTAGTAGGGGTGTGTGTTTAGTGGGGGTGTGCGTGTGTTTAGTAGGGGTGTGTGTGTGTTTAGTGGGTGTGCGTGTGTTTAGTAGGTGTGTGTTTAGTAGGTGTGCGTGTGTGTTTAGTAGGGGTGTGTGTGTTTAGTAGGGGTGTGTGTGTGTTTAGTAGGGGTGTGTGTGTTTAGTAGGGGTGTGTTTAGTAGGTGTGCGTGTGTTTAGTAGGGTGTGTGTTTAGTGGGTGTGCGTGTGTGTTTAGTAGGTGTGCGTGTGTTTAGTAGGGGTGTGCGTGTTGTTCAAAAGAAAGAGCCACACCCTGTTGTTTGGCAGTCTCCGGCCCCGAGTAGAGGACTGTCCACCCCTTCCACCCACCCACTCATCCACCCACCAACTCACCCACCAACCCACCCACCAACCCACCCACCAACCCACCCACTCACCCACCAACCCACTCACTCACCCAATCACTTAAGAGGACGCATCACACCACAGCAAAGTAGTTTGTAGGTTTTACGGGGGGGGGGGGTTAATATCGTAGGGGAGAAACGGAAACTTTGTCCGATGATGAACACGAAGTTAACAAGCAGCAAATAGCTCGCGACTCGAGGGACGGAACTACTTTCACCCACCGCGACTACTAAAAGTAGTGCCGGCCGCCGTGGGGAAAGAAAAAAGCACGGAGGGATATGGTGCGGTGAGACGGCAAAGGATGGTTACGGATTACCGCATCACACCACCGTAACACTCCACCACCGCGTGACCGTATCACTCCACCGCATCACACCGTATCACTGTACCGCTCAGAACCCCCCGCGGCAGAAGAAAGTAGTTCCTAAAGTAGTCCACTCAGAAACGGCGTTGTTATAACAAGTGGAGCGTTATAGCTGGGTAGGTAGATGGGTAGGCAGCTGGGTGGGTAGGTAGTTGCGTGGGTAGCTGGGTGGGTAGCTGGGTAGGGAGCTGAGTGCGTAGCTGGGTAGGGAGCTGAGTGGGTAGCTGGGTAGGGAGCTGAGTGGGTAGCTGGGTAGGCAACTGGGTGGGTAGCTGGGTGGGTAGCTGGGTAGGCAGCTGGGTGGGTAGCTGGGTAGGCAGCTGGGTGGGTAGCTGGGTAGGCAGCTGGGTGGGTAGCTGGGTGGGTAGCTGGGTAGGCAGCTGGGTGGGTAGCTGGGTGGGTAGCTGGGTAGGCAGCTGGGTGGGTAGCTGGGTAGGCAGCTGGGTGGGTAGCTGGGTAGGCAGCTGGGTGGGTAGCTGTGTAGCTGCGTAGGTAGCTGGATAGGTAGCAAGGCAGGTAGCTGGGTCGGTAGCTGGGTAGCTGGGTAGGCAGCTGGAGGGGAATGTGTGAGGGGCGATGTGAAAATCCGTGCCCGAAATTTTCCCAACCGCGCGAGCCTCTACGTGTCTGTGTGTCTGTGTTTGTCTGTGTCTACGTGTCTGTCTGTCTCTACGTGTCTGTGTCTACGTGTCTGTGTGTCTGCCTGTCTGTCTGTATCTGTCTCTACGTGTGTCTGTGTCTACGTGTCTGTGTGTCTGCCTGTCTGTGTGTCTGTCTGTATGTCTCTACGTGTGTCTGTGTCTACGTGTCTGTCTACGTGTGTCTGTGTCTACGTGTGTCTGTGTCTACGTGTGTCTGTGTCTACGTGTGTCTGCGTGTCTCTCCGTGTCTATACCATAGTCACTCACCCCGACCCAGCCAAGATGTTGACTGCCTCACCTGGTATACAGGAGGTCGTGGGTTCAATCAGGGCCCAGACGAGATGTTGACTACCTCGCCTGGTATACAGGAGGTCGTGGGTTCAATCAGGACCCAGACGAGATGTTGACTACCTCGCCTGGTCTGCATCTGGAGTCCTGCGTCCGCGTGAAATCATTGCCACGCATCGGTTAGGTTGGGTGGAGCTATCGAGATGATTTGGCGGCTATAAAATGTCCAAGTGATGATTGCCACTTCTGTTGGGACAGCACGTTGGGGCGCTTCTGAAGCACCAACACCACCACCACCGCTGGCGCCGCCGCCCTTCATCATCTAGCTTGACAAACTCGTTCCTTCACAACTGCTGTTGGTTGTTGTGTTGTTGGTTGTTGTGTTGTTTGTTGTCCTTATCTCTCTCCCCCCTCACCCACGTCTGATTACACACACATACAGACACACACACACATACAGACACACACACATACAGACACACACAGACACAGTTACACACAGACACAACAACAACCGCCATTCGCCGCTAAGTGGCGGTGACGTCACCACGATGCTTGTGCCAGGCTATGTGCACCCTGAGGCCACGTGAAGTGTCGAACGCCCGCTGGCAGGAGGTCACGGGACAGACCCAGGTGCCACGGGTCGACTGACTGAGATGACTGGCTGATGCACCACCTGTGCCCCCTACTGTGGCAACCTGCTGTAATTTAGCCACCCGGCGCTCCGCTCGTTGTTGTGAGCGTCGCTCCTCCGCCCTCCGTTGTTGTTGGAGGGCGACTGCCTCCAATTGCCCAGTAGCGTCCTTCACGAGCCTCCTCCACAGAGGCCGATCTTGACACCGCTGGTTCCAGTCATCGGCAAGTCCACTCAGCTCCACGTCCTCCTGTACCACATCACTCCATCTCTTCTCTAGCCCGTGCCGCGCCCGTTTAGGCCCCTCGATCCGGCAGAACAAAAGCCGTTTCGGCATGCGGTGGCTGGGCATGCGGGCTACATGACCCAGCCAACGCATCCTTGCCTGCAGGAGGAGCTCACCGATGGGACTTTGTCCAGATCTTTCAAGGATTTGTGAGTTCCTCACACAATCCAGCCTGGTTAAACCCAGGATGGATCGTAGGCAGGCTAGACAAGCAGTCACACACAGTCACACACACAGACACACACACAGATACACACAGATACACAAACAGTCACACACACACAGATACACACACAGATACACACAGATACACAAACAGTCACACACACACACAGATACACAAACAGTCACACACATACACAGATACACAAACAGTCACACACACAAACAGTCACACACACACACAGATACACAAACAGTCACACACACAGTCACACACCGTGACACACCGTGATACACACACAGACACACACACACACACCGTGATACACACACTGATACACACACACACCGTGATACACACACTCACCGTGATACACACACACACACCGTGATACACACCGTGATACACACCGTGATACACACCGTGATACACACACACAGTCACAGACACACAGATACACAAACAGTTACACCCACAGTCACACATACAGACACACAGAGACACACACACACACACCGTGATACACACACACACCGTGATACACACACACCCCATGACACACACACACACCATGACACACACACACACCATGACACACACACACACCCTGATACACACTGATACACACACACCGTGATACACACACACACAGTCACACACACAGACACACACACACACTGATACACACACACCGTGATACACACACCATGATATACACACACACACTCTGTGGTACACACACACACTGATACAACAACAACAACAACCGCCATTCGCCACTAAGTGGCGGTGACGTCACCACGACGCTTGTGCCAGGCTATGTGCACCCTGAGGCCACGTGAAGTGTCGAACGCCCGCTGGCAGGAGGTCACGGGGCAGACCCAGGTGCCACGGGTCGACTGACTGAGATGACTGGCTGATGCACCACCTGTGCCCCCTACTGTGCCAACCTGCTGTGCTTTAGCCACCCGGAGCTCCGCTCGCTGTTGTGAGCGTCGCTCCTCCGCCCTCCGTTGTTGTTGGAGGGCGACTGCCTCCAACTGCCCAGTAGCATCCTTCACGAGCCTCCTCCACAGAGGCCGATCTTGACACCGCTGGTACCAGTCATCGGCAAGTCCACTCAGCTCCACGTCCTCCTGTACCACATCACTCCATCTCTTCTCTAGCCCGTGCCGCGCCCGCTTAGCCCCCTCAATCCGGCCAAACAAAAGCTGTTTCGGCATGCGGTGGCTGGGCATGCGGGCTACATGACCCAGCCATCGCAGCCTTGCCTGCCGGAGGAGCTCACCGATGGGACCCTGCCCAGATCTTTCAAGGATTTGTGAGCTCCTCACACAATCCAGTCTGGTTAAACCCAGGATGGATCGTAGGCAGGCCAGCCTAAATGTTTCTAACCGGCGAAGATGTTCCATTAGGGGGGTCCACGTTTCGCAAGCGTAGAGAAGGGAGGGAATGACCGTGGCCGAGAAGACCTGAAGCTTAGTGCGGAGCGACAGACCAGGTAGCTTCCACACAGCGTTACGCAAC